AACTGGACCTTTCGGGGATGACCCTCAGTGGCTCTCTTAAGGTGACCAGTTAGTGATATTCAGTAAATTTGTGTAGTATAGGTGTATCAGTCAGTCAGTCAGTGAGATCAGTCAGTATTATAACGCTAAACACAGAAAACGGAAGACAAGAGGTTAAAAAAAAAGACTCCCCATGGTAGACTGTCGTAAATCAGAGCTAATGTTTGTGCAGGATAAAACCTCGTCACTAAATACAGGGGGGGTGACCGTCTGGGCCCTCTCATCACGACTCTTACCGCCACCATACCGCTTGAAGAAATGGCTGATAATAATGACCGTAATGATAGTATTTCGGGAGTTATAGACCAGCAGGAACTCGTATATATGGACCCCGACAGGTGAGATAAGAATTGGAATGGACAGGTGACGATAACAAAGTCTTTAAAAGTGTACATAGTAATTTGGAGAACGATTAAGTGTTGTACTACTCAGTGTGTACAGGTTAATTGAAGGTTTATTAGTATGTACGTTCATGTTACTTTGAGGTTTATTGTTGGATTTTACATTGTTTTACGTAAGATACTTTTATTTTATATTGTTTAACGTAAGATACTTTTATTTTACTTTGTTTTACGTACCAGACTTAAGTTTTTTTTTTACACGAATTTCTCTTATTAACTTTTGATTGGAAGTTGGGTTAGGTTAGGTTCGGTTACCTTAGGTTAGGTTTGGTTACCTTAGGTTAGGTTAAGTTACGTTAGGTTAGGTGACCAATCAACTAGTGCTCCACCTCACACCGTTAGTTTACCCACACAGGACTGTTGTAACACCTACAGTAGATATCAGTGAGGTGACTTGTTAAATTTCTGGAAGAACTAGTTATCTCAGTCAGAGCTGTTGTTGAAACTAGTTTTAACTTAAGTGTTTAGTTCAATCTAAGTTTAATAATGTATTAGTCCTGTATTTCGGGTTTTCCCCAGTAGCTAGTTTTGCCGAGGTCATATTAGTTGTACAGTACAGCCTTTATGGTTTCTAGTTTTTACTAGCTAAAAATTAGTTTTGACTTATTTCGGGTTTCAACTAACAGATGCACTCCATGTATTAGGTTATGAGGGGAGTTTACGTAGTCCAAGTTTAATGTAACAAATGTGTGAGAGATTAATTATTCTCAGTTTATCGTAGAAAGTAACGTAGTCAACTTAGTACCTGTGTCATGTTATTAGTTAATGACACAACCTTCTTTAGATGTGATGAGATGACTGTTTCAACTAACCTTTATGTCTCACTAGATCTCAACATAAAGCTATTTAATTTAATGGCTCACGAATTCTCATCACATAAGACCTATTTAATTTTATGCCTCGTCTGGTCTCCGCAGCATAAAAGCTATTGAATTTAATGCCTCACGAGTTCTCACCATAAGAGCTATTTAATGTAATGTTTCACTCGTTGTTATCACTGTTATCGTCGGCGTTACTATTTATTTAAGTCAGGAAATGTGGTTTGTGGCGCTCCCGATTAGCTCCTGAAAAAATGTGTGAGCTGGTCTAGATAAATGATGATATTTTATACAGAGAGAAAGAAAGATGTTTATAATTAGTCCAGAAAAAAAAATAAGAGTTGCAGATAAGTGTTGATATGAGAGAGAGAGAGAGAGAGAGAGAGAGAGAGAGAGAGAGAGAGAGAGAGAGAGAGAGAGAGAGAGAGAGAGAGAGAGAGAGAGAGAGAGAGAGAGAGTCTTTCCATCTATCTGTCTGCCTTTCTGTCACTTTCTGTCATATATTAGGCGTATGTTTCCTTCTGCTCTATCACAGGTGTTCCCAGGTGTTTCTAGCCGATAAATAACAGATGTTTCCCTTGGGCCAATGACAGGTGTTACCCCACCGGATATACAATAGTGTTTCTTCTTGGTCAGTGGCACCTGTTTCCCGTTGGCCACTACAGGTGTTTCCCCTCGGATCTGCGTGACTAAGGGCCGTGTGGTCGGGGTCTCGGATCACCACCGACAACCGATTAAAGAGGGGAAACTTGGCCCCCTCACACGCCCGTCCATCAGAAATAATACTCCCCTCACCTTGAATAAATCAGGCCTTGTGGCTCCCCTCACCGGCTGGGTTTCAATCCGCATTCCCCTGTACTGTTACTTCGCGTTCCTGAGGTGCTTGGCGTTCCTGAAGTGTCTGGCGTTCCTAAGGTTTTACTGGCTTTCCTGAAGTGTCTGGTGCTGCTGAAGCGTCTTTGGCGTTCTAGAAGTGTCTTTGACCTTTAGTGCCTGCCGTTCCTGAAGTGTCTCTGGCGTTCCTGAAGAATATCTGGCGTTCCTGAAGTGTCTGATGCTCCTGAACTGTCTGGCGTTCCTGTAGTGGCTATGGTGTTTCTGAAGTAACTAGCATTCTTAAAATATCTATAGTGTTCCTGAAGTCACTATAGCGTTCTTTAAGTAACTAAGGCGTTCCTTTTAGGTCCGTGTGATCAAGTCTCCTCAGGTTTCTCTGGTCAGACCTTTGGTGGTGTTTATGACCCTGAACGTTACATCACTGGACCCTGACTCAAGAGAACGTGTCCCTTTTTCTCCTGTAAAGTCGGGACTAAGAGAAGGTTAGCCATCACCTTATTTTACCTTACGAATAAACACCCTAATGCTCCGTGAGGGGGGAGGTTAGGGGTTAAATTAGGTTGGGTTAGGTTAGGTTAGGTTAGGTTAGGTTAGGTTAGGTTAGGTTAGGTTAGGCTAGGCTAGGCTAGGTTAGTTTTGGTTTGGTTTGTATTAGGCTAACTACTCATCAGGAGAAATAATCTGGTGAAGGGTGAGCTAATCTTTATATGATCTTTACCATCTAGTATGTTAAGTAACCTAGACTCCACACTTAATTACCATAGTTGTTGAGGCGCAGTAATACATTATACAGTTATCATCATTAGCAGACATTTTACATTAACGCTTGAAAACTAAATTGGGGTCATATGCAAATCACCCTTTTATATAATCACTTTTAATTCACACTACATGATTTGGGATGATTAAGTCTCTTGGTATTGTAGTATTGTGTGTGTGTGTGTGTGTTTGTGTGTGTAAAATGATTTTCTAATTTTGTATACGTCAGAGGTATTTAGTTTTGTGGAGAGAGAGAGAGAGAGAGAGAGAGAGAAAGAGAGAGAGAGAGAGAGAGAGAGAGAGAGAGGCGGTACAAGCCACTACCTTCATCAGCATGTATAATTAGGTCGGTGGTGTTAGCAGGCTCGCGTTATCCTCTTTCTCATTACCGTAATCACACACTCACCCACCCGCCCGCTCCCCCGCCTAGCTGAAAAAGTTACGCTCTGGGATACACACACACACACACACACACACACACACACACACAGACTCTTTCTCACTCTCTATTTTCTCTTCTTTCTTTCTTTCTTTCTTTCCTTTTTTTCTCATACACCATATTTAACATATTTTTATAGCTAAAGTCATTATTGCATATCCCATTTCTCTTCTGCTTCCTTATTTATCATTAAACTCTTCTTGACAAGTGACATAGTGAACAGTACCCTTGAATAGTCTCTCCACCCCAGCTTATTTCACCTCATAACCTCCTTAACCCTATTTGGGCGAATGAGGTTAGGTTAGGTTAGCTTAGGTTAGGTTAGGTTAGCTTTGTGGTGGTTAGCTTAGGTTAGGTTAGGGTGGAGATTCTTCAGGTGAGTAGAATATTTTAATTTCTATTTAAAAAGATTTCACATAATTGCCACTTTGATCTCTTGAAATAGATTTATCTTATTTTACGTTTAGAATAATATGGTTACACATGTTGAGGGTGGGGAGGAGTTGAGGGTGGGGAGGAGTTGAGGGTGGGGAGGAGTTGAGGGTGGGGAGGAGTTGAGGGTGGGGAGGAGTTGAGGGTGGGAGAGGAGTTGAGGGTAGGGTGGGGAGGAGTTGAGGTGTGAGGAGGAGTTGAGGGTGGGGAGGAGTTGAGGGTGGGGAGGAGTTGAGGGTGGGGAGGAGTTGAGGGTGGGAAGGAGTTGAGGGTGGGGAGGAGTTGAGGGTGGGGAGGAGTCAAGGGTGGGAAGGAGTTGAAGGTTGCCCTGAGCTGTTAAGTCTCACCCTCATTAATTACTCTTTTGTTTCACCTTATCCTTCCTTATATTTTCCTCAGGTTTTATGAAGGTTGAGTGAAATAACTTCATTATATACGAAATCAACTTTTTTTATTATACACACCCAATTTATAAGTAATTTACATTGTATTATAAAAAAAGTATACAGAGTAGTTAAAAGAAAATATCCCGTTCAATAAAGTTAATTGATAATGTAATTTCCTCCTCTCGTTTTACCTGTGTTTTTGTTTTACCTTTGTGTTAATTACAGTAATTTGTGGAAGTATTACAGGTACATGGGGACTTTCTGATCACTATTTATTACATGTGTTTACAGGTGTTTGATAATAACTGTTGCAGGTAACTCTTTAATTATCATATGTTGTTGTTCAGTGTTCAAGAGTTGTGGTGGTGTTGTAGTTCAGTGTTCAAGAGTTGTGGTGGTGTTGTGGTTCAGTGTTCAAGAGTTGTGGTGGTGTTGTGGTTCAGTGTTCAAGAGTTGTGGTGGTGTTGTGGTTCAGTGTTCAAGAGTTGTGGTGGTGTTGTGGTTCAGTGTTCAAGAGTTGTGGTGGTGTTGTGGTTCAGTGTTCAAGAGTTGTGGTGGTGTTGTGGTTCAGTGTTCAAGAGTTGTGGTGGTGTTGTGGTTCAGTGTTCAAGAGTTGTGGTGGTGTTGTGGTTCAGTGTTCAAGAGTTGTGGTGGTGTTGTGGTTCAGTGTTCAAGAGTTGTGGTGGTGTTGTGGTTCAGTGTTCAAGAGTTGTGGTGGTGTTGTGGTTCTTCCTTACACCATCAAGATTGGAAAGCTGTGGTTTTAACCCTTTAGAAGGCAAAAAAATCTCTGAGGTATTTTATTCTGGCCAGCGTCATTCTATTTAACGTGTCGGTTCTCTCTTGGTCGTGTCGTTGTGGGTCCGAGGCACCATGTAAGCTGTTAGTACTACTGTGGTTGGTCAGCAGGTTCATGTAAGCTGTTAGTACTACTGTGGTTGGTTAGAAGTTGGTCAGCAGGTTCATGTAAGCTGTTAGTACTACTGTGGTTGGTTAGCAGTTGGTCAGCAGGTTCATATAAGCTGTTAGCACTATTGTGGTTGGTTAGCAGTTGGTCAGCAGGTTCATGTAAGCTGTTATTACAACTACGGTTGGTTAGCAGTTGGTCAGCAGGTTCATATAAGCTGTTAGCATTATTGTGGTTGGTTAGCAGTTGGTCAGCAGGTTCATATAAGCTGTTAGCATTATTGTGGTTGGTTAGCAGTTGGTCAGCAGGATCATATAAGCTGTTATTACTACTACGGTTGCTTAGCAGTTGGTCAGCAGGTTCATATGAGCTGTTAGCACTATTTTGGTTGGTTAGCAGTTGGTCAGCAGGTTCATGTAAGCTGTTATTACAACTACGGTTGGTTAGCAGTTGGTCAGCAGGTTCATATAAGCTGTTAGCATTATTGTGGTTGGTTAGCAGTTGGTCAGCAGGTTCATATAAGCTGTTATTACTACTACGGTTGATTAGCAGTTGGTCAGCAGGTTCATATAAGCTGTTATTACTACTACGGTTGGTTAGCAGTTGGTCAGCAGGTTCATATAAGCTGTTATTACTACTACGGTTGATTAGCAGTTGGTCAGCAGGTTCATGAAAGCTGTTGCTTAGCAGTTGGTCAGCAGGTTCTGTTAGCCGCAGGTTCATGTAAGCTGTTATTACAACTACGGCCAGCAGGTTCTATAAGCTGTTAGCATTATTGTGGTTGGTTAGCAGTTGGTCAGCAGGTAGTCTAGAGGTATTACTACTACGGTTGGTTAGCAGTTGGTAGTTCATTGCTGTTATTACTACTGATTAGCAGTTGGTCAGCAGGTTCATATAAGCTGTTATTACTACTACGGTTGGTTAGCAGTTGGTCAGCAGGTTCATATAAGCTGTTATTACTACTACGGTTGATTAGCAGTTGGTCAGCAGGTTCATGAAAGCTGTTGGGTAAGTCTTGCCGTTGGTGTGGCCAGTGTGGTGTAGCCCTGGTAGTCTGAGGTAGCAGGTAGTCTTGGCTCTGAGGCAGGTCACGTGGAGAAAACCTCCTGATGACGGGTGGTGAAAGTTCCTCAGGTAGCGGCAGAAAACGGTGTTCTCTCCTCTCCTGGGCTAGTCTTGTTCTCGTCTTCTTCAGGAACCTCACTTCATTGTACACCCTCACCACTTTTACCAGCAGGACGGTTTCAAGGCATGCCAGCAGTACCACCCCGACCCAGGTCAGTACCATCTTAATATCTGTGGACAGAAGGTTGATGCTAGGTGTAGTCACTATGTTTGCTATCTAATGGTATAAACAGTCATCGCCAAAATGGGATAAAAAAAGCCCGTAGCACTCTGGTGTATAGAGTCAACATTAAATGGTCAGTCAGTTTAGGGGATCGAAGATGGTACGACACACACACACGCATGCGCACACACACACACACCAGTATAATTTCACAACCCTTAAGATATGCGTTGACACTTGGCGTTATCGTATCTTATAACCTGGGGATGTTGCAAAGAAAATTCGTATCCACTTGCTGAAGGTGAAAGCGAGGTTAAGGTCAGGGCTAACACGCCACAATAAAACACCAATATGAGTGGTAGATTATTTCAGAGAGTGAGAAGCTCACTCACCTTGCTGGACATCATATTTAGTGTGAGGTCGGTGACCACACCAGCTTAGCTGTCCTCCTCCTTCAAGCGTGACGTTCAGACTCTCGACCAGATGGAAGTCGTACCCGTCTATGCTGTACTTTTCCTCCCCGTTGACCAGAATCTTGGGGAGAGGAAGAACTGGTCAGGCCTGATGGGGAGGGGGTGCTGGTGGCGACTAATGGGCCTTACCTTCTGGTTTTAGGCACAAAATGACATAATGACGTTGAGAATTATGATGTTTGATAGCAGACAGTGTGTGTGTGTGTGTGTGTGTGTGTGTGTGTGTGTGTGTGTGTGTGTGTGTGTGTGTTAGTCAAGTTGTGTAAACAGTCATTTCACGAAATGACTGAGAAAAAGTCAAATAGTGAAATGAATGTTTTAATCGGGTTTAGTGAGGTTCTAATCTAATATAACCTAACTAACATAACCAAACCAAACCAAAACTAAACTCACCTAACTTAACCTACCTAACTAAATTTAACCTACTCAACCAAACGCAAATGATACATTGGTTTCGCTCTTTGACTCATAATTTCAGTCATTTCGTGATCTGACTTCACAACATGACAGTAACATATATACAGAGTCATTTGAAATTCTATTCCGATGACCTTGTGTTAATGAAGTGAATGCAGTCGTGAGACAATAATTATATAAACTAAAAAATCACAGATGTATCGTGTAATAGTGTGTGTTTTACGCTTCACTAGGAGGAGTGAGTACAGTAGCTCACAAGCCTTCCTCTGTCCTTTTAACTTGAAAAATACAGGTTTCTTTAATTTTTATTGTGTTTGTGTACGTGCGTGTCTGCTAGAGGCTTTACCTTCAGCGAGAGAATTTCGTCAAGAACTTCGAATTCCATCCAATCGTTCGCGTCCTTGAGGTCATGCTCATTGAAGGTCAGAGGGAGTGCTTCGTTCTTGAGCAAAGTACAATTCACGTGCATCTTCCTAACTGTCTCTGTGGGTAGGTGTCTGAAGTAGAAGATGCGCTTCATTGCTTCACCTTCACTGTATAAACTGTCTTTTATCACGCAATCTGTCGGTGGTTTAAGACAGTGTTAAGGCTGACTCTTTCTTTTATTCTCTCAGTAAAGAGTTTCACTGGTAATGACTGTTATCGAATTAAGAAACATATACAATTGAATCTAAATTGTGAGTTTACAAAGCATCGTGATATGTATCTTTGGGTGGAGGCGTGGATGAGAAGGTGAAAGTCAAATGGCCAACAGTCCTAACAGGCCCCATCCTAACCTAACCTAACCTAACCTAACCTAACCTAACCTAACCGGCCCCATCCTAACCTAACCACCATGACTGAACACCACTTCCAAGGGTTATGTTAAGTTAGAACAGGAGGGGGTGCCCATGTGGCTAGTTACCAGCTGAGTGACCTACCTTCATCCAGACAGTTGTAGTAGAATTTCATCTTCGCTTGTCTGTCCCACGCCAGATTGAAGGGTGGGGTGAGGCCAGTGTCCTTCACCAAACTTATTTCTTCCTTATGACCTTCCATCCCCATCACCATCTCGTACCCAGTAGAGTCTGCTGTGGTCTGTGTGTTGTCTGCTGGTCCACGTGTTACAGTAGATTCTGCTGTGGTCTGTGTGTTGTCTGCTGGTCCACGTGTTACAGTAGATTCTGCTGTGGTCTGTGTGTTGTCTGCTGGTCCACGTGTTACAGTAGATTCTGCTGTGGTCTGTGTGTTGTCTGCTGGTCCACGTGTTACAGTAGATTCTGCTGTGGTCTGTGTGTTGTCTGCTGGTCCACCTGTTACAGCAGAGTCTGTTGTGGTCTGTGTGTTGTCTGCTGGTCCACCTGTTACAGCAGAGTCTGTTGTGGCCTCTGGCATCTTGTTTCTCGGCGAAGAGTAACGTTTCGTATTGAGTGGGGGTTTTATGGAGTCTTTCTTCATGTCAATGAAAAATTTCTTCCACTCGTTTATTTTGAAGACTGGCTTGCTCAAGATAGTAGTCTTATCTGCACCATTTGAGCATAAAACTTTCACAGATTCAAGATAAAAGGTGAGGATGCAGCTGTTCCCGTGGTCGTCCCGAATGGTGCCTGTAGCTTGCCATGATTCTTCACCCTCTGGACGCAGGGCAATGGTAACCGTTATATCAAACCTCTTTGGAAGATGGTGAGTGTCTGAGTCATCGGGCAGAGTAAACTGAACACAATCTGTGAGAGAGGGAATAAATGGATTGTTTATAGGTGGTCGCTCCGGGCGAGAAGTAGACTAGCGACAACAGGGGAAAACGCCAGAAAACTCAGTTAAAGTTAAAAAAAAAAGAAATATGTATTATGGTATAATGAACATATCTCAAGCTGCTTTGTCGCTTGTCTTGTTCTAGCTGAGTGTTACCATAAATAAAGAAGAAACACTCAGCTGTGTTTCAAGAAAATCCCTGCCACTTAAAAAGTGTCTTTAATAATTAAGTAACTAACAATTACAAGTAACCATAATTACAAGGTACTACAGCAAATTGCCCACATCTGGTTTAACTGTTTACCGAATATACGTGAGAAATGTCAGGTAGCAAGTGAACCTTGGCACTTCTTAGCTTTGGCGAATTACAAAAAAAAATAATAATAATAAGATAAAAAATGAAACCTACAGACCAAGAGTGAGTGAGTATTGCTGAGTGCATAGTATAACTGTTTCCCTCTGTGCTGTTTTAAGGTCAGCGGATGGGGGAAAACTCAACTGCAACCGTGACTTGAAACTCTCCCAGCATATTTGACTCTAACTTAACCTAACCTTACCTTCTGCTTTTATCTTCGTCGATGTCGTAGTTTGGTCACCTACCACAGCCACCACACACCACAGCCACCACAGCCGGACCATTCTGACAGCCGAGGAAAAGAGACAGCCAGGTGGTGGAGTATAATAACCAGACCCAGCTAGGTGCAGCTGTATAATGACCAGAGAACCAAGTAGTGGAATATAATGATCAGACAGTTAGTTGGTGAAATATAATAGCAAGACAACCAGGTGGTGGAGTATAATGACCAGAGAGCCAAGTGGTGGAGTATAATGACCAGAGAGCCAAGTGGTGGAGTATAATGACCAGAGAGCCAAGTGGTGGAGTATAATGTCAAGACAGTCAGCTGGTGGAGTACAATGATCAGACATTCAAGTGGTGGAATATAATAACCAGGCATCTAGGTGGTGGAGTATAATGACCAGAGAGCCCGGTGGTGGAGTATAATGACCAGAGAGCCAAGTGGTGGAGTATAATGACCAGAGAGCCAAGTGGTGGAGTATAATGACCGGTCCCAGCCAGGTGGTGGAGTGTACTGGAAGATTATACGTTAAGGATGGTATAGCCTGCGAGCGGGTGCCAGATATCATAGGTGCGCACACAATAATAATCAGAGGAAGTTGAAGGCGGCTGAGGAAAAAGTTATTGGCTAATGAGATTGTTATTATCCGAGTTGTGAGAGACTGTTGTATAATTAGTTGTGAGAGACTGTTGTATAATTAGTTGTGAGAGACTGTTGTATAATTAGTTGTGAGAGACTGTTGTATAATTAGTTGTGAGAGACTGTTGTATAATTAGTTGTGAGAGACTGTTGTATAATTAGTTGTGAGAGATTGTTAATATATTTGTTTATAGGAATATTTATTGTATCTGCGCGTGTTTTATCCATGGACTTATAAATACTACCAACACGCACTCACCTGTATATAGATTTAACCTCTGACTCAGACACTCACGCACTCACTTCTACTGTATAAAGACTTAATCACTGACTCAGGCACTCACGCACTCAATTCTGTATAGACTTGGCCTCTGACTCAGATACGCAGATAGGATGGGAATAGGTGAAGGGAGAAGGATGGGAGTAGGTAAGTGAGGATAGGGTGAGAACAGATAGGGGTACTAGGATAGGATCAGGTTGAAGGGGTGGGATAGGGTGGTGGTGGGGAGGATGAAGCAGGGACAACACACCAGACAGAAGCTTATACCTAAATTCACTGCATTAATTCAAAGCACGTTATTTTGTAGTCCTGAAACCTAGTACAGTGAGAACCCGTCCATACATGGGGGCCCTCATAAGTGACATACGTGTGGAGCCATGACATATTACAGAAAAAGACACTCGGATATACAGGGAAAGATAGTAATACATACAAACAAGAAATCATTCTGTTTGCCTTGTGTATATTCTGCCATCTCAACTAACCATAGAGCAGTAATGAGCCTGATATTGAAGCAGTTTTGTTTGCCCTCTCGCTAAGTGTAATGTAGACAGGTGCTGTATGAGGAGTGTTATTGCAATGGCGAATGGGTTGAAACATTGATGTCTACAGCGGAGAATTATATGAGTGAATGTTTGTCTGGAAGTTGTTTGGGCTCGAGAGGAGAGTGAAAGCTAAGGATCGTGAGGGGTGTTCCTATGTCTGAGCCTTTATAGACATAACAAATGTGTTGCCTTGTGTGTGTGCTGTGTGTGTGTGTGTGTGTGTGTGTGTGTGTGTGTGTGTGTGTGTGTGTGACTTGATATGATAGACAACAACCATATGTGCGTACATTACACACAGAGAGTATTGTGCTGGTATTCTCTGCGCTATGAATTTCTTACCTGTAGATTAGAAGTTTGCAATAATGTAGTCTTACCTTCAGAATTCATAAGTTTGCAATGCAGAGACTCGCATCAGGATTTCATAAGTTCGTCATGTCAAGTCCTAAAGTCTTAAGTGTATAATGTGGAGTCTTAGCCCAAGAATTCATAAGTGTGTGAGGTCCCATCTCAGTTCATTAGAGATGCCACTTTCCCGTCAACAGAAAAGGCAATATATGTGCGTGGTTCGCGTCTTATCCGCTGTATGTGTGGAGGAGCTGCCCCGTGTAGTATAAAGGACCCGCTGTATGTGTGGAGGAGCTGCCCCATGTAGTATAAAGGACCCGCTGTATGTGTGGAGGAGCTGCCCCGTGTAGTATAAAGGACCCGCTGTATGTGTGGAGGAGCTGCCCCGTGTAGTATTAAGGACCCGCTGTATCCATTAGGGCTTAATTCCCTGTAGTATAAAGGACCCGCTGTATGTGTGGAGGAGCTGGTGTAGTATAAAGGACCCGCTGTATGTGTGGAGGAGCTGCCCCGTGTAGGGTGTATTATTAATTCCCTCCAGTGGCGGTGATCCTTATATAGGGTGTTTATGCTGATCAGGGTAGATGCTCGTTCTGATTGTGCTTCCCCTCATCCCCCTCCACCCCTCACCCCTAATGCCTTCGGGCTTCCACAGTCCCTCGGTCGTGTTCGTCACCCCCAAGTCCCTGCATCCTCTTGGTCGTGTTAGACCCCAATTCTCAGGTCCCCACAAATCACTCTGATGTGTTAGTCCCCCCTCTTCAATTCTCTCAGCCCGCACCAGGCACGTTTTCTCTTACTAATTTGGGATCTTAAACAACAAACGAATTTTACGAGAATTTTTTACCAACGATAAATTCCGTATATTTGAGAATTTGGCCCAAAGATAACTTCCAAATATATGGTAATATTGACCCCAAAGAATTTCCAGATATTTGAGAATTTTTACCCAGGAGGACGTGTGATGATTTCAGAGATACTAAAACTTTATTAACATATCCTACTTATGATATGAATCCCTTCTGAATACATCCAGTCCTACTAGCTGAGGGTGTAGGATAAATGGCAACTTCCTCAGCGTTATAGTCCAGCTTAGAAAGTCCTATTTAGGATTGGGTAGAATCAACGGGTCCCCAATACGGTGTGTCCCCCTCCCCCCTCACAGTCCACTCATACCCACACCCTCACCCTCACCTACATCCACACGCCTATCTCCACCTACACCCACACGCCTACCCCACCTTAATATAACAGGTATTTAATGACATGTATTAATATAACTCCTTGGCTCTTTTACTTGACTTTTTACCCACTGTTCATGTAACAAGTTAACAGAATGGGAAGGTCAGTCGTGCTTGGGCGTTAACCAGGGTAGGTACTGTCTTGTTGGCGTGTCTTAATGGCGTTTAGTCTTAGTGTGTATGTGTGTAAGGCTTCATATAGGGGACAAGAGAGAGAGAGAGAGAGAGAGAGAGAGAGAGAGACGTAAATCTTGAAAATGTAACGAAGGGAAATGGAGGGAATAGGAGGAGGCCAAGGTGTAGGAGGAGGAGGCCAGGGTGTGGGAGGAGGAGGCCAGGGTATACATTATAGGAGGAGGAGGCCAAAATGAAGGAGGGGGAGGTCAGAATGAAGGAGGAAGGGGGAGGCCAAAATAGAGGAGGAAGAGGTAGACCGCCCCCCAACATGGCCTCACCAGCTGGGTCCTGAGGTTGTCGTCCACCGCTAATTTCACGGTGACTGCTTGTTGTTGTGGTGGTGCTTGGGAGTGGGTCTAATGTACTGCCTACCGGGGTCTCTCTCTCTCTCTCTCTCTTTTAATTTTATCCTTGTTTCTCCTTTCTCTTCTGTTCTCTTCATCTTTATCAACTTCCCCTACCCTTCTTTCTTTTATCAATTTTCCCTCTTCTTCTTCTTCTTCTTCTTCTTCTTCTTCTTCTTCTTCTTCTTCTTCTTCTTCTTCTTCTTCTTCTCACGTTATTATCAGTATGATATATTTACGGTCTTTAAGGGTTATGGTAAACGCGAAGTTGATTTGTGTTAAGCTTTGTTAATCCTAGTTTAAGCTTTGCTCATTCTTGTTTATGCTTTTTTCAATCTAGTTTAAGCTTTTTTCATTCTTGTTTAAGCTTTGTTCAGTCTTGTTTTAGCTTTGTTCAGTCTTGTTTAAGCTTTGTTCATTCTTGTTTAAGCTTTGTTCATTCCTGTTTAAGCTTTGTTAACTCCTGTGTCAACTTTGTCAATCTTCGGTAAGTCTTATTAATATTCGACAAATCCTGTTAATTTCCGATAAATTTTGTTAACCCCCGATATACTTTGTTAACTGTCAATAAACCTCGTTAACTCTCGATAATCCTCGTTAACTCTCGATAATCCTCGTTAACTCTCGATAATCCTCGTTAACTCTCGATATTCCTCGTTTTTCTATTCCTATTCAAATATCAGTTTTCTCTTTCCAGTTTTCTTCTTTTTATTACCAGGAAAATAATGTATTTCGGTTGGCTGTGAAAAATAGTTTATAATCCTCGTTAATCCTCGTTAATCCTCGTTAATCCTCGTTAAGCTGTAAGAACTATCATTAATCTCTCCTGAACGGTAGTGCGAGGCAACCCATGCAGACTCCACCTTCTGATATTTTGTGTTAGTTATTTTTGTTCTGATTATTTTATGATAATTATACTGTATGAGTATATTTGGTGGAGGATATAGATTATAGAATTTGTAAAGCCTCTCTCTCGTAACAATATTCCCTACCTGTCTCTATTTTCAATTTCCTGCCTCAAAAACAACGCCCACTCGAGCATTTTTTTTGTGCCCCGACGCCAGCGAAGCGGGAACTTAGAAACAGTGTCTGTCAGTCTACGTGTCATTCGGTGCGTCCGTGCATCATGCGTCAATCGGTGCGTCATGTGTGCCCCCGAAAAATGTTTTATGCGGTGAACTTAACAGTTTGTTCGATTGACTTCAGATTATTATTATTAGTAGTAGTAATAGTAGTAGTAGTAATAGTAGTAGCAGTATTACAACTATTGGCATGGAGTGTGTGGGGGATTGGTGGTCTCAGAGGAGAGCGGAAGTAGCCTGGCAGCCACAAAGTAAAACACTCAACCGCTCATATGATTATTTCCACCACCAAACTGAGAGGCGCGCCCTCCCATGCCCTCCCACGCCATCATCCCACGGTACGCCCTCCGCGCCTCACAACCCATGCCACTACCCGGACATACAGTAGGCACGCCCTCCTACGCCTTCGTTCCACAGTATTCTAACCCGTGCCACACCACACATACCATCACAGCCACACCCTCTTGCACCAGCGCCACACCCCCTCCCCCTCTCACACATGTAAGTATACTCGCCTACATGTGGCGGGATGGTCGTGGTGGTCACATGATGTTTGTGGTGTTGGTTGGAGCTCCATAAACTGCTTTATTTATTGAGTAATTGATTAATGTTGTAGATATAGTGATAGATCAGCAGGTCATGGTGTATATAGTGCAGGTCATGGTGTATACAGTGCAGGTCATGGTGTATATAGTGCAGGTCATGGTGTATACAGTGCAGGTCATGGTGTATATAGTGCAGGTCATGGTGTATACAGTGCAGGTCATGTTGTATACAGTGCAGGTCATGGTGTATATAGTGCAGGTCATGGTGTATACAGTGCAGGTCATGTTGT